TACTATTATTATTGTTACTATTGTTGTTGTTTATAATTGTTATTTATAATTTGTACAATTAACCTCCCTATGGTTCGACTCCGGTCTTGCCGGGTTATTTATTACTTCAACACTCCTACACTTCGGAGAAGATATCAATCTTTTCATCGTGTCATGATCTGACAGGGACCTATCATTGGTATCAGAGCCATAATGACAACTAACAAAGAGCGTATTGAAATGTTAGAGCAGAGAGTGAGAGGTTTACAAGATGAGGTGCAACAACTTGGACTTGGAATGAATGATCGTATGTAATGGCTTGAAGAGTCTTTAAAAGCTTTATCTAATGTTGTTCTCTCCTCAAAGGCAATTCAGTCCTCACCCTCTGTGAAACAGTGACACATATCTCACTATCAACCTGACGAGACAGAAGTTCTTGTCTGAACATACCCACTCTTCGAGCAAAAATTGAGTTTCCTCGATTTGCAGGGGATGATCCTATGGAGTGGTTCAATAGAGTAGCACTGTATTTTGAATTTCAAAGAACTCCTGAAGATCAAAAGGTGTGCTTGGCAGCTTTCCACCTGGAAGGAGAAGCAAACCAATGGTGGCAATGGATGAATTGGACATACAAGGAAGAAAATCGAATTGTGACTTGGACTATATTTGCAGATAACCTATGGGCACGATTCGGTCCACCAGATGGAGAAGACTTTGACAAGGCTCTTTCACATATAAAACAAAGTGGTTCTCTTCGAGATTACCAAAGAGAATTCGAGAAATTGGGCAATCGAGTACATGGATGGACTCAAAAGGCTCTTGTTGGAACTTTCATGGGCGGATTAAAATTGGAGATAGCTGATGGAATACGAATGTTCAAGCCGAAAATGTTAAAGGAGGACATCAGTTTAGCTAGAACCAGAGATGAACAACTTACACGAAAAAAAAAGATTTGTTCGCTCAATCCAACCAAATCACCCTCCAGCAACCGTCACTCCGATCAACCAAAGAACAGTGATAGCTCCTAAATGATTAGGCTAGGAAGAGATGCAAAAACGAAGAGCCCAGGGGCTATGTTTCAACTGCAACGAACAATTCACACCAGGCCATAAATGCCTAGGGGCTAGACTGCTTGTCATTGAAGGTCACGATGATGTGCAAGATGAAGAGGAAGAGGTAGAAATAAAAGGTAGCAGAGAAGATGAACTTGAAGTTTCTATACATGCATTGATAGGATGGGCATCTCTATGGACAATGCGAGTAGCTGCCACCATTAAGTCCCAACCAATGATGGTATTAATCGATAGTGGATCTACACATAATTTTTTGAGCGACAAAGTGGCTAAAACATTGCGGCCTGCAGTGGTTCCGACAAAGTCTTTCATAGTTCATGTCGTCAATGGAGAGCGACTCTTGTGTCAAGGGAGATTTGAGAAGGTACCAATAGATTTACAAGGCATTGCATTCTCTCTTACTTTCTATTCCTTGTTATTAGCAGTTCTAGACATGGTACTAGGAATACAATGGTTGGAGATGCTGGGATCTATAGTATGTAACTGGAAGCACCTAACAATGGGATTCAACTGGGAGAATCAAGCACGAAAACTATAAGGGATACAAAGGCCCATTCAAGCTACTTCACTTGAGACCATTACAAAGGAACACTGACAGGGTCAAATGGTTTTTGCTATATATGTTCAAACTTTGGAAGAATTTCCTTGGGTTGACACTCAGTCGGATATGCAGCAAATTTTAAGTGAGTTTGAGAATGTCTTTCGAGAACCCACTCAGCTGCCTCCATTACGAGAAATCGACCATTATATACCTCTCAAGGAAGGCACCCAGCCCGTCAATATTCGACCATATCGTTATGCACATTTTCAAAAGGAAGAAATTGAGAAACAAGTGCAGGAAATGCTGGATATAGGAATCATCCGACCAAGCATCAGTCCTTTTTCATCCCCTGTCCTTTTGGTGAAAAAGAAAGATGATACTTGGAGGTTTTGTACAAATTACAGAGCATTAAACGCAGCTATGATTAAAGATCGATTTCCTATTCCAACAGTGGATGACATGCTGGTTGAGTTGTACGGTGCTACCTATTTTACTAAGCTGGATCTTCACACTGGTTATCACCAGGTACGAGTTCATGCTCCCAACATTCTGAAAACTGCATTTCGGACATATAATGGCCACTTTGAGTATCTTATTATGCCTTTCGACTTATGTAACGCTCCATCTACTTTCCAAGCCACAATGAACTCTATTTTCCATCCCTACCTCCGACAATTCATATTAGTCTATAGTCTATAGTCCTATATGGGAATTGTATTTGACTCATGTGAAGAAAACATTAGAGATTTTGAAGAAGCACAGCTTCTTCATCAAAGCAACCAAATATGACTTTGGTAAGCTAGAATTGGAGTATTTGGGCCATATTGTGACAAATCATGATGTCAAGACAGATGGAAAGAAGATTGAGGTTATGGTAGCATGGCCACAATTTACTAATATTATTGAATTGCATGGCTTTTTAGGCTTGACAGGATATTACAAGAAATTTATCCGGAATTATGGAGTACTCGCTCGTCCTCTCACCAATTTGCTCAAAAGGGGGATTTTAAATGGGATGGAATTGGAGCTATTTTGACCCAGTAAGGGCGACTAATTGCATACATGAGTCGATCTTTGGGGGGTTACTAAATGCACCTTGTATCGTTTGGGATGACATCTCTTTAGATTTTATCGAAGGATTGCCATCTTCACATAGCAAGGATAGTGTCGCACGTCCCACGCCCGGCGATTTGATGATTTTTTATTATGTTTGCTGGATTTATTATTTAGAAGTCGCCACCTAGTATTTGATTGAGGGTTACTAGAAAACCCGAATTTACTGATCGTTATCAATGATTCGAGGATAAGGGACTGATTGTGGCTAGGGAAGGTATTAGCACCCCTAGCATATCCTACCTGAGGTAAGCTGCTTTGTAATTTGACGTGATTTGAAAATTTAAAATATTAATCAAATTCTAAAGTTTTAATAAATCAGTTATTAAATCCAAAAATACATGTAGAAACATATTCTTACATTTTCATGGAAAATATAACATGATTTTATTTGTCCTTAGATATTTAACCATATTCAAATTAAATACTTAATTCTTTTTTGTCTTTTTTATTTTTATAATTCATTAATATAAATAAATAAAAATCCAAACCCACACTTCCACATCACTTTTGACTATGTTTTTCTGTTACAATTTTTACAACATAACATAAACTAAAAACATTTAATAGAAATTTAAATACATATTCAAATATGTCAAAATTAAAAAAAGGTCCCTAAAGAGTCTAGGAACTGCAGAGGAGGCCTTCTGGAACTGTGGAGCAGTGGTGGCACGTCTCCCCACACACACCTATAACCCACGCACCACCGCGAAATCTAGAGAACGTGGGGAGATCCGTAATGGTTTCCTCCCCTCTTCACCCTCTTGTCGGCTATGAGCAACGAACTGTGGAGCAAGGGCGGCGTGTCTCCCCATGCGCGGCCATCATTAGCGGCCCGTGGGTTCACGCACCC